GCGGTACCGGTGGTCGACATTTCCAGGCGCGCTTATCGCGTGTCGGTGTCGGCCGTCGTCGATTGGCGGTTGACAGAGAGAATAGACGGCGCGGGTTTCCGCGCAAAGGCCGTTTGAATTCAAACGATTATTACGCGGGACCGCGTCAAAATGCAACACATAAAAAACCTTTAGGTCATCACAATCTTTTCTAACTCCCTCCRCAGGGTACTTCCTATCAGGGACTGGAACCTTTATGATTTTATCGGTTTCGGTTCTGGTTTCGATTTTCAAAATTATAAAATTTCGGTTTCGGTTAATACCGGTTTTAACCTTTATTATTTGAATTTTGCTTTTTATTTTATTTTTTTCAATTGAGTACTGCATAAAAAAATSAATAATATATTCAGAACTTCTATTTAATGATAGGTACCTATTTGTAATTAAGTGTACCTATTTAAGAATATAGATAATATAATATCATTACAACATAATACTAAAATTAAAAATGTAAAACTATAAAAAATATACTATTATATTCAATAGTTTACTGACGTTTATGAAAGTTTCACCATACCATTGAATTTCAAACATTGTAAGAATTCAAAAAACATTACTGTAGCAAACAAAACCTAAATAACAATATATTTAAATTTTAAACTAATAGACTAACATATAAAACATAAATATCATAATATAAATATTAATTTTAATTTTTAACAATAAACATAACGGCCATAACCTAACCTAACCTAACGGCAATAACATTAATCGGTACGGAGGCGGGAGAACAGTTCAGTAGATAGCAATCAGTCATAGTGTCGTACAGAGCATAGAAAAAAAGTGTAAAGTAAACATTGTGCCTACAGTCGAGTACACGAAAAGTGGCGTGTGACCTTGACTGTACCACAACCCACACCMGGCCTACGGCCGGTGGTTCTCAACATGCGGCGCTGGCTGCGCATGCAGTGTATTTCGCGCACGTAGCGTAACATTTTGTAAATTGTACACATCTTCATAAAAAAAAAAATAAGGATACTTTTTTTATTCTATAGATTTCAGGTTGTTTGTTGTATAGACCCGTTATATAGGTTTGTGGTTTGTTGTAGCTGTTATTTTCCCTTGCATTGTGTGTGGAGCGAGGGTTTGTTTTTATTCTAAATGTACAATGAAATACCATAGCACCTACCTTTAGTAGCTCGCAAGTAGTCGACGAGTAAGTACATTCGTGTGTTAACTGTTTAGTGTGTATTTTGCCTGTGTGTTTTAGTGATTTATTTACTGTGCTGTTATTTTGTAATTTTTTAAAATGTCTTTTAATGATAAAGATATACATAGTCAATCTAAAAAAATTATACATAGCGTGTATATATTTTTAAAAAATCTATCCAAAAAATCTGATTTAACGCTCGGCTTTTTTAAATGTTGTAACGAAATGACTCTTTAAATACCTTTATGAGTAGATCACAACGTATACATTTATTTTATATAATATTCACAACAGTTAATACAATTTGACAATAACATGATACTTTGTGTTTATAGTTTATTGCTCTTCGAGCATACAATAAAAATATTTAATAACAAATAATTTTACATAAATAGTTCATATTATACTTTAAACAACTCACGGTTCTTGTTCTGTATATAAGTTTTAGGGAAATGAGCAATGTAATAGTACTGCTGTGCAGGTATGACACTACGGTATGGTCGTAGTCCGTACACAACAACACTAGAACGGAAAAATAAAGGAAAATCTAACTTTGCACAGGTAGTGTACTACAGTAAGACTGTAGTCCGTATGCAAAGGTAGGAGGGAGACTATCGTTGTATAGGTAGAGTACTACGGTAGTACCGTAGTCCGTATACAAGATAGGGATAGGGATAGGGATGATAAGGACAGTGAAGCTAGCTGATCAGTGTCCTCGGCGGTCCGGCAGATGGGTCGCGGCTGTGGCTGACTCCTATAGGCGGCTTGGCAGTGGAGCTGGTTCCTGGCAACGGCGGTGGTCCTTGTCTCTCCGGTGTCTTCGTAGCTGGTCGTTCGGCGTCTGTGGTCCGGTAGATGGGTCGCGGTTCAGCT